GAAGAAGAGTAAGGAGAGAAAAGGCAAGCTGTGAGTTCTGGGGTTTTATTTTAAGACATGGAAAGGTGTTGTTTGGGGTTCTTTGTTTTGGTTTTGGAACAGTCTCTCCATAGCCCTGACTGTCCTAGAAATGACTGTGTAGACCAAGCTGTCCTTGAACTTAGAAATCTACCTGCCTCTGAGTGCTGGAACTTAAAGCACACTCCCAGGGACAGATTTTAAGGGTGTGAGTTAATGTGATCACTGTTGTTCTATAGTACAGAGGTACAGGACCAGTAAAGAAAGCCACACGAAAATCCACATATAGGTAAAAATTGAGAGCATAAAAAATAACATAAAAGAGAAAGAGCTGTCAAGACTTGTTAGGGTTTAAGTGCTTAAAAAGAAGTCAAGGGTAAATCTCAAACTAGGTACTCTGGAGTACCATGCATTACAAGAAAGGGCCAGTAGATCGCTCAGTGAGTAAAGGTGCTTGCTGCCAAGCCTTGAAAATTTGAGTTCCAATCCCTGGGACCTATATTGTGGAAGGAGAGAATTGACTCATGAGCTATCCTCTGATGTCCACATGAGCACCACACACACAAGACATAGAATAAAATGCATAATAACCCCCACCTCAATGAAAAAGCTTATTTGGGTAGGAGTATGTCCAGTGGGTTTTGCTTAGTGTTGAGTTTACAGTTTATCCAGGTTAAAAGTAAAGCCACCGATCATGCAGTTGTATGTATATATATCTCCATCACAAAGAAGAGGTTTGACTTGAGGCTGAAGTTTGACAGTCATTTGCATACAGGTTCTAGCAGGAACTATGTATGTGGTTGGTTGGAATTATCCAGGAAAAAAATGTGGAAGGCAGAAAGAAGCAGCCTCTAAGAATCAAAGCAATAGGGCTGGAGAGATGGCTCAGAGGTTAATAAGAGGTCCTGAGTTCAATTCCCATCAACCACATGATGGCTAACACAGCCACCTGTAATGAGTTCTGGTGTGCAGATATACATGGAGGCAGAATGTTTTATTTTATTTTATTTTTGAGACAGTGGGTCTCTATTGCTTTGGAACCTGTCCTGTCCTGGAATTAAAGCAACAGAACCTCTACCAAAACAAAACTTAGCTAGGTGGTGGTGCACACACCTCTGATCTCACTCAGCACTCAGGAGGCAGAGACAAGGCAGATCTTTTATGAGTTCAAGGCCAGCCTGGTCTAAAGATTGAGTTACAGGACAGTCAAGACTGTTTCACAGAAAAACACTGTCTCAAACAAACAAAAACTTAAAGGGAAATAGGGCTACTGCTGGGATTTGGGGAGATTCATAAAGGGACAGTGCTAAATGCTGCAGAGAGCTGTGAGCTAGTGGCGAGGAATTTGACAGTGTGACAGTGTGCCTCACTTTGCTACATGGGGGAGGTAAACGCTAGCCCACAGAAGGCGGTGTTTACAAGAGCACTATGAACAGTGTATGTTATCAATAGATGAAAAGGTAAAGGACCTTGCCCAGCCTGATTGAGGGGGTAGGGGCTTGGTGCTGCCTCAATGTGGTATCCCAGACTTTGGTGATTCCCCAAGGAAGGCCTTATCCCCTCTGAGGAGTAGATGGGAGGTGGGAAAAGGGGGTGGAGGGACTGGGGTTGGGCTACAAAAATTATATATATATATATATATATATATATAAAAATTTTTTTCTTTAGATTTTTTTTTAACTTTTTAATTTATTTTTTACATTCTAATCCCAGTTCCCCCTCCCTCCTCTCCTGCTCCCCCTACTTTCCTCCACCCTGCCTCCCATCTGCTCCTCAGAAGAAAAAAATTTCAACTGAGTAAAAAAAAAAAAAAAAATACTCCAGGCTGTGGTGGCGCACGCCTTTACTCCCAGCACTTGGGAGGCAGAGGAAGGCAGATCTCTGAGTTTGAGACCAGCCTAATCTACACAGCTAGTTCCAGGACAGCCAGGGCTACACAAGAAAAACCCTGTCCTGAAAAAAAAAAACAACAAAAAACATCATTTAAGAACAAAAGGAAGAAAAGATAAGTAGATTAAGCCTGTCAAGGGTGATAGACTGTTCCAAAGTAAGCAGAGAGGACAACTAGGGCTTATAGCTCTGAGGAAGCATCTCCGAGTTCAAGGATAGCCTGATTTACATAGTGAGTTCCAGAACAACCAGGGCTATAGAGAGAGACCCTGTCTCAAAAGGGGAAGGGCTAGGATTTCCGTAAATGAGTAGTAGCGGAGATTACTTCTATTTTGAGGGTAAAAAGACTGCCTGAGATACAATTTTGAAATTCTATATCCATCTTGTATAGCTTCATAGCCCATACCATCTTCAGTATGTCACTCTTGTTCATATTTTCCTATCACTAATTTTTATGTTCACAAATCTTCAAGGCTTCTTTTCATCTTGTAATTCAATTTTTACTTGGCTGAAGAATGGGTGATTTGTTTGTTTGGATTTTTAGAGATATAAGGGCTCACTCTTTAGAGCCCAGGTTAGCCCCAAACTTGTGATCTTCCTCCAAGCTGGAATCACAGGTGTGAGCCATCATGCTGCTTTCAGAAAGTCCTCTGAAACATCCCCCACTCTGTCCCCTTCTCCTTCAGCTGTGCACATGTCTAGCCAGAGCACCCTTGACCCATTTGACTTGTTAGGGAGACAGAAAAGCTGGACTGTTGCATCTAATACCTAACATTTTTTAATAAGTCAGGAAAGGCTGGGATGAGATATAATAAAGATTTGTAAGATAAGCCATGAAATTGTATGGAAAATGTCTACCTCGTGTCTTTGCACAGCCCATTGTTTCTGAAGATCAAACAGCAGCCCTGATGGCCCATCTCTTTGAAATGGGATTCTGCGACAGGCAGCTGAATCTAAGGCTGCTGAGAAAACACAATTACAATATCCTGCAGGTTGTGACAGAGCTCCTTCACATCAACAACAACGACTGGTACAGCCACCGCTACTGAAGACTGATCTTGTATTAAATAACTGCCTGCTGCTCAGAGATTATCTTTATTCTGTCATTGAGGTGTGGGTGGAAGCCCTTGCTTGTTTTTTAATCTGATGAATCTATATCGAGCATCACTGAATTGTCAAAGCAATATCTGTTACAGTATTCTTTGGAGCAAATCAAAGAGCAGAACTTAAATTCTCATTTTTGAAATGGGATGAGTAGTAGAAACAGATTTTCAACTAATGTGGACAGGGCTCTCTCCACTGTAATATGTGGAAGTGGCTAACTTGGACTTCCTGGAGACTGCTTCTCCTTTTGCTTGTACTGAAGTTGAGCATTTTCCTTTGTTCCATGTGGTTGTTTTTAATGGGCTGTTAAATGTTAGTTTGGTTATTTTTCAAAGATTAACCTTGAACATTTTTAAGAATTATTCTCCTAATTTCTATAACCAACTCCAAGCTTCATAGCTACATGACCTTAAAGGACAGCAGATCAAGAAAGTCATTTCCTTGTAAGACTTAGTAAATAAGTAACTCTTTGCAGAAGACCCCAGTGGTGCAGTTGAGTGTCCACCTGGCAGGTACCTGGAGGGACAAAAGGGCTGGGCATGCTAGTTAGCCCACCAGCGCCCATTGAACAGTGTTTGTGGAAGTAATTTTGCATAAAGTTTTATTTAAGGAAAAATCCTAGGTAGTGTGAAGTATTTCACTAATCTTGTAGAGAAAGGGAAAACCCACCTGTTACATAAAGGAAAGGTAAAGTTAAGTCCTCTCTTTTGTGACTGTCAGAGCACATCTTAAGGAAAGCTCAGGTGAGGCCAGGGAGACAAGAAAATGCTGGTGACTTCTAAATGTTTGTAATCCTCTTCTGAGGTGTCCAGCCCTAGAGTTGAGAACAGGAAGTAGTGGGTGGGGGGTAGTAACCTGCCAAAACGTTAGTTTAACTCTAGGATAAATGGGAAGGAGCTTGCTTCCAGAATTCTAGGTCTCATTTAGTTTATCAAAGGGAACTTTGGGTACAGGTGGTGAAAGAAGAGGTAACAAAACACTAAAGATTTTGTTCATGATAAAGAGTTTCAAAGAAGGAATCTGGACCCCAGCTCAAAGGGGGAAAATAGTTAAAATAGTATTATTTAACTTAGTTGGTATTTATAATAAATGGCGATTTTAATTACTCATAATCTGTTTATTTACCGTCTAATTCTTGAATGCTTCTAAATAAACCACAATTCAAACTGCAAGCCAACCAGGCTGTTTATTATTTAAAACCTTTTCATGGGGTTTGGGGTAGAAGCAAAGCTGCATGGTGTGGGTAATGAGGTGGATTTGGAGTCGGACCTGCCTTGACCATCTGGATCCAGACCTTCGTTCTACTGTACTTGTAAATAAATAGCCACTTAAAGAATTGTGAATAAGCCTGGCGTTGGTGGCACACGCCTTTAATCCCAGTGCTTGGGAGGCAGAGGCAGGCAGATCTCTGAGTTCGAGGCCAACCTGGTCTATAGAGTAGTTCCAGGACAGGCTTCAAAGCGATATAGGATTCTCGAAAAAAGCAACAAAAGAGTTGGGAATAAATGTTCTGTGAAACGCTTACCCGAACTTACAGCATTTGTCCTTTCCTGAGACTCCGGTAGCCGGAAGCGGCTTCCAGCAGCGGGGGAGGGGGAGGCGGGGCTGAGGGGCGGGGCCAAGTCTGGCTTGGACTCCAAGCTTGTGATAAGCGCTCAGCTCAGCAGTTTCGATTGTGCTGAGGGCGTCGTCACCTTAGGGTAAGGCACTCCCGGGACCACCACCTTCCCACCCCTCTTTTTCCTTTACAAAGCAAAAGCCCAGAGACGTTTGGGCTTTCTCAGCGCCTAACGCACAGTGCCCAAATTCGAATAACGGCCAGTGTGGTGGGATTTAAAATCCTTTCCTCAATGAAGTCCTATCTTCCTTGCCCACCTGATGGCCCTTGACAGAGTCTCCTAGTAGAGAGGGAAACTTGGAGCCTGGAAGTCAATGATTCCTGCTCCCCACTTAGCGCACATTCACTCTCCCAGGTCTCCGGTGAAGGGAGCTGATCGCCCCACCCTGGGGACCACCCCACCCCACCCTAGAAACCCTTCGCCCCAAAGGAGCATTCCAGAAAACCCAATCTTGCAGCTGAGAAGAACCTGGACTCCCAGACCTAAACCAGGTGAGTATGGTGTTATTTTAGCCTGGGATGATCTCTGAGTGTGTCCTAACCAGCTGCTTCGTTCCAGCCGCTTCTCGGGGCTTCTGGGGAAAGTTCAGACTTAGCCTTGGCCTTTGCTAATGAAGAACAGACTCAAATGTGTAACTGTGTTCCCAAAAACAGATTTAGCCTCCCTCCCGGTCCCGTTTCAAACGGCTTCTTAGCAACTCTGTTCTCTCACACGAGAAGACCTGATTTTCTATTATAGCCAGATTCCAGACTGGAAGCCTCCCTTCTACACCCACGAGCTGACTTCAGGCATTTCTGCCCTAGTGCTCTTGATTAGGGCGGACAAAGGGACCCTGAAACTGCTGTACTCCCCACTCCCAGCCTTATCCAGCTTCCCTTTGAAGTAAATGATAGTTCAGCTTTTCCTGGAAAAAATACTCTACATTCACTTATGGAAGTCCCTTAAAGTAAAATAACTTCTGCTTTTCTTTGGGGTTTTTTTTTTCTCTCTGATTTGAACTTTCATAAAAATAAATAAAAGCCCAAGGCACCACCCAAACCTCTCTCCTCGAAGCTAAAGCTTGCTTAGATAATGGTAGGAGTAATTGCCAGTCTTGAAAACTTAAAACTAGGATTCTATCTGGCATCAATGTTAACATCGAACCTTGTTTTATTTCTCATTAGTGAGAAATCCTGCTGAGCTATGGGCAACCAGCTAACCTCTCAACAGGATGAGGGCAAGTCAATCCTACCTGATAACCCAGCCCTTGCCAGCAAGCCTGCCAACTACTTCAGCACGGGTAGCAGCCGGCCATCGAGCTCTGGTGTGCTTTATGCAAGGGCTGCTGGTGCCGGCTTTGTGATTTGTCCTACCTGCAAAGGCAATGGGGAGATTCCCCAAGGTGAGTAGCCCAAGGCTCTGGAAATACCCTAGAAACCAGGGAGAGATCCAGACCTGCCCCTCTGTATCCCCTGGAGTAGGAGGTCAGGCCAGTTCATGCTCTCTTATCTTAGACTGGCCAAGGAGAAATAGTTCTATTTCCTACAGGAAAGTGTCTTGTCCCTCTGTTTCTCAAGCTATACTGTGACTTAGGAATTGGTGAATTGAAAATGTCCTCTCCAAAGGAGCAGGACACTTCTGACTTGCTAGTTACTTCACACCTGGTAATGGAAATCACATTCCTTTTCTAGTTGAAAGCTGAGCTGCCAACTTCACCCCTGTGTTCTCAATCCTGCTCTGGGATAGAGGCGACCTTCTTCCGGCCCTGCTAGATGGAATGGAGGGATGCCCAGGGGAGGCTAGGATGGGAAATATTCACAGACACTTCTTGGCATTCTCTCTCACCCTCTTTCCCTCTGCAGAGCAAGAGAAACAGCTGGTAGCACTCATCCCTTATGGAGATCAAAGGCTGAAACCCAGACACACGTGAGTGTCACACATTCCTAGGGCCAGCCTCACCTGTCTCCTCTGTTTTGATCTCCTGATTTCCCCCCAACCCCGTTGGTTTTCATCCAGAAAGTCTGAGTCTCACAGTGATTAAACTTATACTACCTTTGAATTTCCAAGGCTTGTCCTTAAGAATGATAGTGTCAGCACCTGAGATTGTAACTCACTGATAGTGGGTTTGCTTAGCTAGCATGCATGAGGTGCTGGGTTTGATCTCTGGCAAAACAAGGGTGTAAGAAGTACGATTTTTCCGCCCTCCGCCAGTCTTGTCCCGCTGCCGCACCAGCCCCAATTAACACACAGAGACTCTGTATTTGATACAATGTTGTTAGCCAGGTACTTGTTTCTTATCGGCTAGCTCTGTCTTAAGTATTAACCCATTTCTGCTGATCTATGTACTTCTGTGGAATCAAAAATAGAAATTCTTTTCCCCAGTAACTTGTCCTTAGATTTAAATTTTGGAGTCAAAGCATTTTTAAAATATATAAATTGAATTAATGCAGCAGCATTTTTTTTTATCAGTTGTTATTTTCTCAGCAGTCAAACAATGTAGAGACAACACAATAGCATACAGTAACCAGAACCACATTGTAGGAGTAAAGTTAACCCCACACATGCTGTAGCACACACATCTAAAATAAATAAAACTAGAAACAAGCAGTGTTCCTCATAAGATACTAGGTTCTTTCTTTAATTCATATCTCAGATTGAATTGTATGGGTAGATAGTATCCTGTTCTAAGTCCTGAGTGTAAATATTAAAATTCAGAACTCTCAAAGAGTCACATAGACTGGTTTCAGTGAGGTCTTGCTGTCTGCCAGCAACTGTGATTAGTTATTTTCCTCTGTTGACTCAGGAAATTCTATGAAGTGAATCTAATTATCTGTACATGCTGGGCTTGTGAAGAGGTTATGTAGTACCACTCAGCATTATTGGGTCAATGGGGACAGAGATCTGGGAATGGAAGCCATGTTGACTGCCTTCCAATCCTGTGCTAAACAGCAGCTAGACAGCTAAGTGTGCAATTGCCAGACTGTGGGCAAGAGGAAGCCACCTGCGGGGGGGGGGGGGGGGTTCTGAATCCCCTCCTGAGATTTCCTTGGTTTTCTCAGACTTGGCTCCTCCATCCTGGGGCCTGTTCTCTCATAGGAAGCTCTCCGTGTTCCTGGCCGTGACCACTTGCCTGTTGACTTTCACACTCACCATCTTTTTCCTGTATCCACGGTCCATTGTTGTGTATCCTGTAGGCCTCAACTCCTCTATGGTGACCTTTGATGAAACCCATATACGACTCAACATGACAGTAGGTAGCAGGTGCTCCTGATTTCACCCCTACCTTGTCCAGAACAATTCCATCTTATGGTCTGCAGAAGGATGCTGAGAAGCAACATGAGCTCTGTAGTAGATGGTATATGACTCGAGCTCTGCATGGTGAAGTGTTAGAATCTGGACCAGGTCAATCATAGGATGGAATAGGGATGTCAGGACAAAATGGAGAGAAACTGGGCAGGATAAAACTGGATCCTCAGCTAGAAAACTCCAGTTGGTTGATGGGTTTTCACTATGTTGCCCAGGTTGGTCTTGAATTCCTGGGCTCAAGTGATCATCTCAGCCTCCAGAGTAACTGGGACTGTGAGGTGTGTTGTGGAATAAGTTTTAATGATGGAAAGATGCATTGCATTCTTTTATGTTGTATTTGTTTAACTCCATAAAGCTGTTACTTTGCCTGTCTAAAACACCTGATTGGTCTAATAAAGAGCTGAATGGAGATGGGCAGTGGTGATGCACACCTTTAACCCCAGTACTCAGGAGGCAGAGGCAGGCAGATCTCTGTGAGTTCGAGGCCAGCCTGGTCTACAGAGCTAGTTCTAGGATAGCCAGAGCTGTTATACAGAAAAACCCTGTCTTGGGGGGGGGGAGCTGAATGGCCAATAGGGTGGCAGGAGAAAGGATAGGCGGGGCTGGCAGGCAGAGAGAATAAAAAGGAGAAATCTGGGAAGAAAAGATTGAGGAGGACATCAGGGGCCAGCCACCCGGCAAGCCTCCAAGTAAGAAGTAAAGAAAGGTTTATGGGAGAAAGATAAAAGGCCAGAGGCAAAATATAGATGGGATGATTTAAGGTAAGAAAAGCGGCCTAGAAACAAGCCAAACTAAGGGCTGGCATTCCTAAGAAAGAATATGACTCCATGTGGCTTATTTGGGAGCTGGCTAGTGGCTCCTCCACCAAAAAAAGAGCCAAAGAGTCAAAACAACAGGGGTACACCATAGGACCCAGGTCAGTTTTGATCCTTAAAGCTGACCTTTGCCAGGAGAGCTGCTTCACCAGTGCCTTTCCTTGCCGTCCTCTCCAGAACATCCTGAACATCTCCAACAGCAACTTCTACCCCATCACTGTGACACAACTATCAGCAGAGGTTCTCCACCAGACCTCTGTGGTAGGCCAGGTTACCAGCAGCCTCCGCCTGCACATCGGTCCTTTGGCTAGTGAACAGGTAACTTCCCTGATCCTGAGCAGCCCTGCCCACACGTGTGTGATGTATGCACAAGTGGAAAGGGGAAGCCAGGGGTGCGGCTAACATTGTGCTTCTTTGGTTGACAGATGCCGTACATAGTTGCCAGCAGTATTTTGGATGAAAACACGTAGTAAGTACCCTTTGATCTCTTTTCTCTTATCTTCTTCCTTGGCTTGAAAGCCCAGCTGATAGTCACTAGATGTTTTTTGTTTGTTTTTCAAGACAGGGTTTCTCTGTGTAGCCCTGGCCCGTCCTGGAACTTGCTCCGAGTCCAGCCTGGTCTACCAAAAGAGTTCCAGGACAGCCAAGAGTACAGAGAGACCCTGTCTCCAAAAAACAAAACAACAACAAAAATCCCCTCGGATTTCTAATTGCTCCAGACTCAGGAGCCTGCATTCGGCCTGCCCCCTTGTGGCGCGGACTGCAATATGCCAGGGTAAAAGTCCAGTGTTGGGCCTAGATTAGAATAACAGGTGGAACTTTGTTAATCTTTATGTGAGTTGGACTCTTTGAATCTCTGTGGAAGAATTATCTAGTTTTGTGCTGAGGGAGAGGCCAGCATGTGCCTGGGCCAAGGATATGGGTGGCCAGGATAAGGCATCTTGGAGGCCCTGGATGGGAGGTAAGCAAACTGTGAGTTGTGACTTTAAGTCCCCAGTTTCCTGACCATTTGTAAAACAAGGCTCACTGTTCTACCCCTCTCTCTCTGTGTGTGTGTGTCTCTCTCTCTGCGTGTCTCTCAGCAAAATCTGTGCGTGGCTGAAAGTCAAAGTTCACCATATCCTCTTGCATGTCCAGTAAGTATGGTGCGGGACCCCTGTGTGTGCTCGCCTCCAATCTCCTCACTCCAGTTGCATTTCATGAGGTAGAGAAAGAGTCGTGGTAGCTCACATCTTGAGTTTTTGTTAGCTCTGGAGAATAGCAAGGCTAAGGCCAGTTGCAGATCTTACCTTGCTTATCCTGGAGTTTCCAGAGCACAGGTGTGACAGTTGTCCCAGTGTCCTGGCAGAGAAGAGAGCACACACACACACACACACACACACACACACACACACACACAGAGTAGAGCGAGGCCAAAGCTATTCTATCCTCTCCAGGGATACTCTGCTTCCTCTCCAGGGGTACTCTGACCTGCTCCTACCTGAGCCATCCACAGCAGCTGCCCTTTGAGAGCTTTGAATATGTGGACTGCAGGGAGAATATGTCAATGCCCCACCTGGAGATCCCTCGCCCAGCCTGACCTGTCTGCTGCCCCTGCACTCCAGGCACCTGCAGGCTGGTCTACATCCCAACTCCACGGAACTCAAGGAAGGACTAGTGACCTCGCTGAAGAAAACAGAAACATCTGACTTTATTGTGCCTTCCCCTGACTCCCTCAGCACAAGGAACTTCTGGAACAATGCCATAGGCACCGACTCCTCAGATGTCCAGGAGATACTTCTGATGAGTCTTAACCCATGCTCTGTGCTGAGAAACATCTGACCTGGCATTGTCTTGGGGCTGAACATGTTGCTTCTCTGGCTCTACCAGGGTGGGTCTTCAGTTGGAATGGGAGAAAGCTGTAGTTTTATCTAGAATTTTTAAACAGCGCAGATGGATCCTTTTTATGTTCTCCTCCCAGTAACAAGTAGCTTTGAGGACATCCAACGCCATCTCCAAGGTGTTTTTAGGTGACTGTAGATGTCCCCTTGTGCTGTCCTCTCTGGGCATGTAATAGTGATGGTGGTGGCCTGCTTTTCTCGGCCTGCTGACTACGCCGTCTAAACCCCTGTAGAACAGCTTTCATGTTATCTGGGTAGCAGAAGCTAAGTAGCTGAGGAGAAGCCATCTGGTCTACCCTAGACCAAAGGCAAAGTCAAAGGTATTTATTTATTAAAGGAAAGTTTTTAAACCCATGTGAGTGGACACAGGTAGGTCGGATAGTAGAGTAGGCCCAGTGACTGTTCAGAAAGCCTGAAGGACATGAAGCTGTTGATGCCAGGGCAAAGCTGTGGGGCTCTCATGGGTTCTCTGCATCGGGCCCACCCTCTGTTCCCAAGGCCTCTGCTGTCCCCTGGGCCTTAACTGAAGAGTAACAAATTCACCAGAACTGGACTAGATCTTTCCTTGCCTGTCACTGCACTGGAGCCAAACCCCAGGTGACTCCCAGTTCCGCACCAGACTCCAAATAGAAGTGATATCTGTATTGCAAGAGAGCAGGGGTGTTTATTTGCTAAAGCTAACTAGCCTCTTTCCTCCAGGCAGGTGGAGGGGTGAGCGTGAGCACAGTCGGGGAGGTAGGGAATGCTGACGAAGTAAGATGGATGCAATAACATCCACGGGTGGATGGTAACAACTATATAACTATCTGTGGCTAAGAGGAAGTCTACTGTCACCAACTTTCCTTCCTGGGTAGGCAGGGTTAAGGTATACCACAACACACAGACACGCAGGGAGGTCAAGCTGAGACTGTGGTGTATAAGCCACCAAATGTAAAAGATTTTTATCAATAAACTCCATATTTAGCAGTGTTGAAGGAAAAAGGGTTCCTGGGCAGAAGAGTGAGGATGCTGATGTACACTCCACATCTCACGAACCATGTCATTTTGTGGAGGTCAGAGCACAATGTAATGGGTTTTATTTTGAGACAGGGTCTCATTGTGGAGCCCTGACTGTCCTGGAACTTACTCTGTAGACCAGGCTGACCTCAAACTTACAGAGATCTGTCTGCCTCTGCTTCCTAGGTGCTGGGATTAAAGGTGTGTGCCACAACACTGCCCAGCTGCCAAGCAACTATCCTTAAACAAACAAATCAAGTTGTAGGGATATCTGTCTCTGTCTTGCCAGCACTGGGATTTTAAGCATGTGCCAGCATGCCCAGCTTTTCATACATGGGTTCTGAGGGTTAAACTAAGGCCTTTATACTTTCAAGATGAAAAAATTTTACCAACTGTGCTACCTTTCCAGGCTTCACACTCTTGTGTTCTGATAGGCATGTAGGTTTCCAGTACCTTCTGAAAACACTTTCCACTTCTCTGACTTCTGAGAGATTATCCCTGGAGGCTTACACCGTTCCTCCATTGTGTATTCCTAAACTATCTTTGAACTTTAATGTTCCTGTCCCAAGCCAGTTCTGATACTGTCCCACTCAGGGACCATCCCTAGACTACAGTAAGCCAGGGCTCCTGACCCCAAAGCTGATGCTCAATGCACTAATGTGACTGACATGACTGAGGGAGGCTTTCTCAGAATTGGAGCAGAAAGAACTTAATAGGACTTGTGTCTTCCTGGAGGCTGATATTGAGGGTCCCCAGTCCTGCCTTCTCTTCCAGCTTGGGCTACTAAAGAAGGGACACAGAAAGGATGACACCCAGGAAGATAGAGGCCTGAGGACTTGGTCAGGCAAGCTCCTTGCCCCTTTCCAAGGTCACATTCACGTCCTGATCCCAGTGCTTCACCCACCCCCTTCATCACCTTCTAACAGCTCAGTACCTAGTCTGGGTCCAGAAATGTATAAGGCTTAGACATCCTGCCCGCCCCTCCTGCAGCTGTTCTGCATTGCAACCCCTCCCTTCTCAGGCTGTAGTTCAGTAAGCATGGGTTCGACTCTAGTGAAGTCATTAATAAGCTGGACATCAAAGGATAAGGAACAATGGTAATAGTTGTAGGAGGTGCAAGCTTGGGGTGGGGGTGGGGCTCAAGACCATGTTCTCCTTTGACCTGGCCTCAAACAGCATGGACTCCTGCCTTCTACTATCCTCCATCCACCACCTCCAATCGCCAATCGCGGGTCCTCCTGCCCTCCTGCCTCATCCCATGCTCATTAAGCTGACCAGCTGCCTGGTTCTTTCCAGAAATCACATTTTAATCCCAACTAGCCTCCTCTCCAAGTATACAGCTGGCTTTTTGGAGTAGAAAGGTTGCAGGGTGGAAAGTGTGGTTGCTGTCTGGGTTTTGTTTAGGTTTTTTGGTTGCTTTTGTTTTTGCTTTGTGGGATCATCGGGTCTTGGAGTCCTTCTCTGGATCACCACTGCTGGATGTAATTAGTCGACTAAAAAAGGGGGAAGACAGAAAGCAAAACAAGTTAGTTGTCTGTAGGCGTGCTGCTTTCAGGACAGTGTGTTAAATAAATAAAGCCTCTGAGGCCAGAGGACTAGATGCGGGGTGAAGCAGCAGCTGCCCCTCACCTGCACAGGCGCCCCCTACAGCGCCGGAGCCCCGCTCCTGCCATTTATACTCTGACTAGGAGTAGTCTGGCTTGGTGGCTCAAGCCTGTAACCTCAGCTACTTGGGAAGCCAAAGCAGGAAGATCACAAGTTCAAGGCTTGCCTGGGGTACAAAGGGACTTCAAAGTGTGCCTGGGAAACTTAAGATCCTGTCTCAAAAACAAAAACAAAAACAAAACACAAAAACAAAAAGTAGGAGGCCAGGCTGTGGTGGTGGTGCACGCCATTAGTCCCAGCACTCTGGAGGCAGAGGCAGGTGGATTCTCTTGAGTTCCAGGACAGCCAGGGCTACCCAGAGAAACCTTGTCTTGGAAAAGAAAAAAAAGTGCTTGCTGATCTTCCTGGGGACTAAAGTTCTGATCCCAGCACCCACAGCAACTCACAACCACCTGTAATTCCATCTCCAGGGGATCCACAGCTGTCTTCTCCGCTCCTTAGACACCCACACATGTGCAAGACACATAAGTAGCTCCCCCCCCCCACTTAAGTTAAAAAACAAAGGAGGGAAGGTAGGATAGAGCAGAGTGGAGTAGAGCGGGGCAGAGCACTTGACTCTCGTGCACAAGGCCCCCAGGTTCCTTCAATCCCTAGGCTCTTTCAAGACAAAACCCAGAAGAGACTTTGAAATGGTTCCAGTCCTCTCCCTGGACCCTGCTGAGAAACCCTCCTTAGCCTCCACAAGCACACAAGGATGTGCACTCAGCCAGAGCCCCTTTGCCTCTCACCGTGAGTCGGGAATATTTAGAAGAACTAGACTGGCATGCTTTCGTGAGACCTGATAAGACAAAGCACAAGTCATTCATCTGGCAGTTGCTAAGGAGTCTGGGGGTGGGGGCAGGCTTTTCCTGGGGCGAGACCCAGACTGAACCTACACGGAGGAAAAATCCCCTACAGGAAGCCGTTCTGAGTCCCTGTTCCACACTTTACAGGGCTCAGTTTTATCTGCTGATAACCTACAATTATACCATACCCTTTGACCATCCCCACCATCTCTGTTACACCCTAGAAAAGAGGCCTTCCCAGTCACTCTATCCAGAAGCCTCTTTGCTGCCCTAGGTTCCTGCAAACCATCCAGAAGGAGGAAGAGGAGGAGGCTACTTAGGCTGTTACAGGCTACTGGTGATGGGAAGGGTCAGACAGGACAATGAACTATGGGGGGGGGGGCTACAAGGGGAGGTGGCACACTCACCATAACCTGGAAGGATTGGGGGTCCATCACAAGGTTTGCAGGATTGCTCCCCATCTTGTTGGGCCCCTGCTGGTCTAGGCCTTTGGGTATCCTTCTGGAGATTGTCCTTGAAGGTGCTCTGTGTGGGAGGGTCTTGCTCCTTTGGTGGCTTTGGCCCAGGTGGTGGCTGTGGGTATGCCTGCTCCTGTGGCTGTGCAGGTGGTGGCTGCGCAGGTGGTGGCTGCGCAGGTGGTGGCTGCGCAGGTGGTGGCTGCGCAGGTGGTGGCTGCGCAGGTGGTGGCTGCGCAGGTGGTGGCTGCGCAGGTGGTGGCTGCGCAGGTGGTGGCTGCGCAGGTGGTGGCTGCGCAGGTGGTGGCTGCGCAGGTGGTGGCTGCTGCTTTGCTGGTGGCGGAAGAGGCCCTTTTGAATCCTGGGGTGGCTGAGATTTTTTCTCAGAATGTTGTTTCTTCTCTTCCTCGTTTTTTACTTCCTAGCAAGAAAGCCCCAGCAAGTGACATCCTCTGTCTTCACACAATCACTTATCTGCAAGACAACCTCTGGGCAGTGGCCCATGGAAGACAAAGGGGAAGTGCAGAGTGCCTGAGTGTGTCTGTCACCTGGAGTTAGAGGCCCAAGGTGTCTCTCTTCCCTGACAGAGGACCCAAGGCATGGTTCTGAGTCTAATTCCCGGGGCTGGAGAAATGGCTCCACAGTTAAGAGGGCCCTGAGTTCCCACCATCCACATCAGTAGTTTACCGCTGCCTCTAATTCCAGCTCCAGGATTTATTAACTGTATTAAAACAGGTTTTCTGGCTATGGTGGCACACACGTATACTTACATAACTTGAAAGGTAGAGGCAGGAGGATTGCTACAAGTTAGAAGTAGCCAGGTGAGCAGGGCAGAAGTTCTAGGCCAGCCAGGGCTACAGTCTGAGACTGTCTTAAAACCAAGGAGCTGGGAAATCATATCTCAGCTGGTCAAGTGCTTGCCTTGCAGACATGAGGACCTAAACCAGATTCCACACAGTTCTCAATAAAATAATAATAATAATAATGGGCATGATGCTCATACTTATAATCCCCAGTACTGGGATCAAGATGGGGGGGGGGGTCTCGAGCTCAGTGACCAGCCAGTCTAGCTTACTTGACAGGCTTCAGAACAATGAGGAACCCTGTCTCAAAAGCAAGATGGATGGTGATTAAAGATCAATAGCTGAGGCTGTCCTCTGTCTCATGTATATGTTTCACATATGTGCATGTCTAAGTGTATCTGCACACACACAAGAAATAAACAAAGCACTGGTTTCCCCGTGTTCTCTGATTTTGTGTGTAGTTACCAGAAAATAGAAAATCAGGGCTGGAGTTGTAGCTCAGCAGTGGAACACTACTTCCCTAGTATGTGTGGAGCCCTGGGTTCTACCCCAGCACCTTCCCTCACCGTAAAAATCTTTCTCACTTGGCACACACTAAGTCTTTAATGGATAGTACTGTTTCAAAGCATTTGCAAGGAATTACTCTTTTTTATTTGCTTGCATGGATGCATGAATGCATGGATGCATGTGCATCTCATGCATGCCTGGTGCCCATAGAGCCCAGAAGGGGCTATCAAATCCCCTGGAACTGGAGTTCCTTGTGGTTATGAGACACCCTGTGATGCTGAGAACCAAACCCAGGTCCTGTGAAAGAGTAGCCAGTGTTCTTGTCCACTGTGCCATCTCTCCAGCACGATGTTTTTATTATCCTTAATTATGTATATGAGGAGAAAGGGGTGTGTGCATGTGAGTGCAGCTGCCTGTGGAGCTAGCCCAGCCCTTCCAGGGTTCAGAGGTACAGCAGGGAGAGGTTAAGAAGAGCACTCTCCTGTGCTCTTAACCACCGAGTCATCTCTCCAGCCACAGGCACACTACATTTTTACTAAGAGCATTTGAACTTTGGGCCTAGAGATGGCCCAGCACGGAAAAGTAGTTGCAGTCCTTCCAAAGGACCCACATTAAGTTTCCAGCACCCACATCGAGCAGTTCATAGCAACCTGTAACTCTAGTTTCAAGGGATCTGACATCTTCTTTTGACCCCTAAGAGCACTGATATACAACATGCAGACATACACAGACATGTAAATAAACTTTTTGGGGGGAGATTGAAGAGATGGGTCAGTGGTTAAGAGCACTTGTGTAAGACCCAGGTTCAGTTCCCAGTACCATATGACAGCTCTCGACAGTCTAACTCCGGTCTTGAGGTCTAGCACCCACTCCTGGCCTCCATGGTACACAGACAAACAGGCAAGCAAAAAGCACATACTTATAAAAATAATCATATATCCATATCCGAATGTGGTGAAATACACCTTTAATCCCTGTACCCAAGAAGAGGCAAGTGGATCTCATTAAGTTCAAGTTCAGTCTGGCCTACATAGCCACACTCCAGGCCAACTAGGGCTACATGGGGAAACAAGCAAACAAATTCAGATAAGAAAGTAAAAGTGTTTGGTCAGACATGATGTCACATGCCTGTAATCCCAGAACTTGGGAGATGGAGGCAGGAAAATTGATTATTAGGTTAGCCTGGTCTATATCTGTACAGGACTACATAGTGAAACTCTGCCCCTCCCCCACCCCAAAAAAAAAAAACACAGTTGGAAAAGATTTATAAAGTTCTGCCAAAGATGCTTAGAAATTTTCCTAACATGTATGTTAAATATTCCAAATTCATATACAAATTAAACACAGCTTATTCCCACTAGCCACATTGCAAGTATTCAGTAGCACATAGGTTGGTGGCTTCAATGTCAGACAGCACAGCATTGAAGCCATATACAAGCACTACTCCCAACTAGTCACTAGCAGACTGAGGTGGAAGGATCTTTGGAGCCCAGAAGTTAATAGTTAACCCTGGCAACAGAGCGAGACCTCATCTCTTCAAATAAATACCCTTTCCCTAACGCCCACCTCCACCAGCCTACAACAGGAACACTGGGCTAGCATGCTTCCTGCTCCAGCTGACAGTACACTTCCTGAGGACTAAGTCGTCCTTCCCCGTGCCCCACCAAGGACCCTGATGGACCATGCCCCTCTCGTGCACCTGTTCTTGCTGCTGTGCTATCAGCGCCTTCCTCCGTTCCAAAGCCATCTGCCGACGCCGGGCTTCCCAGTGGTAGGCACTACCCATGATGACACGTGATAGCCCCAGCAGGATGTGAGAGCAGGAAGAGCCTAAGGTGATGCCACTGCACCCAAACTCCTCTGTTGCCTCCCCGCCCCAGCCACACTACCTGTTACCTGGACCACCTCACAATGTGGCCACTGCCAGGGCAACTAACTGGGCAGCCTCCCGGAAGTGTTGGAGATGGAGGTCATTCTCCGCTCTTAGGGAGCTCCTGTAAGTCCTCCAGAGTCCTGAAGGGGAAAAAGATACAGTCCCTCAGTTCCTGGTTTCAGTGGACCCTGGAAACAATTTGGCAATAAAACTTGCTCATTTTTCTCCAGGCGGGGTGGCTCACAACTTTGATCCCAGCTCTCAGGAGGCAGAGGCAAGCAGATCTCTGTGAGTTCGAGGTCAGCCTGGTCTACAGAGTGAGTTTCAAGACAGGCTCCAAAGCAACACAGAGAAACCCTGTCTAGAAAAACAAAACAAAAAAATCCTTGTTCATTTTTCTCTTATAGTGTCTCCTTCCAACCCTTGCCAAGAGACTTCTTGACCATCTGTTGACCCTTCCCTTCTCACAAGCCGTCTGGAATTATCTTTCCTGAACTCTTCCCAACCTCCCCTCTCTTACTGTTCTTCCAGTAATCATTTGCATTGAGTCAACATGAAAGAAAATACGCAACCCAATTGATCTACACTTTGGAAGGGTGTGGGTGGGACACAGCCCGTGGACCTGGGATAGCCTGTTGATTCTGTCTATGTAGTGAGATCTGGTTGAGTTTTAGTGTGAAATGCAAGTTTAATCCTGGCTGCATCACCTACTAAGATGAGGGAACGTGGACAGGCCACCCAGTGTCTCGGAGCCTGCTCTGTAAAGGATGCCGATATTCTCGGAAAATGTCTGCCTTCAAAGTGGGCACTCAGCTATGCAAAGCTGGAATATCTGTCCCAACTCTGATATGAAATAGGAGGGGTGCTTTGTCTTGCTAGATCTTTCTCCTTCAGTAAAAGGGTGATGTTTCCTTCTCTCAGCACCCAGGGGATGCAATAGGATCTAATAGATAAAAATGAGACTTATTTGATGGGAGATGCCATTCTGTAAATATGTTTCTTTTATTGGTTAATGAATAAAGCACTGTTGGCCAATAGGAAAGCAAGATAGGCGGGACTAGGAGAGAAGGAGGTTTCAGGGAGAGGTAGGAGGAGATTCAAGATTTAGGACCAAGAGAGCAGAATTCTAGGCCCTCTCTTCGGTAAGATAGACCACGTGGAAATACTTAGATGAATAGAAATGGGTTAATATTTAAGACAGGGCTAGCCGATAAACATTAGTAACAGGCCAACAGCTTTACAACATCTCTGCGTGTTATTTGGGGTTGACATGGGTCCAAGTGGGTGGAAAAACATGCTCATAACACTTATTGCTGACCTTCAAAAAAAAGATTGGTACTGGTATTTGGCACGCTAGTCAAGCTACCACTGATCTATATCCCTACTCCTCTTTTTACCTTTTTAAAAAATTATTATTTATTTTGGTTTATTGAAACAGGGCTTCTCTGTGAGCCTGGTGTCCTGGAATTTGTTCTATATGCCAGGTTCGCCTCCTACTGGATCTCACCTACCTTTGTCCTGTGCCACCATGGCCTGGCCTTTTCATTTGCTTACCTTTTTTAAAAAATTTAAGATAGATTACCAGACTGGTCTTGAACTTGCGACTCACCTGCCTCAGCCTCCCAAGGAGTTGAATTACAAGACTGTGCCACTAAACCCAGCTTGGACATTCATCTTCACAGTGTTTATCCTTCTATAAAGTGACTGTAAAAAAGTGGGCCATGATGGCTCCTGTGTTAATCCCAGAATCTGAGGGGCTAAGGCAAGAGGGATGCTACAAAGTCTAGGCTGGCCTGAGCTACAAGGTGAGATCCTGTCTCAGAATGAATCGGCAGCATTTCTATGGAAAATGGAAAGACAGGAAAGGTTCTTCCACACCTTGCAGGGCAAAGCAGGAAGTGAGTTCCTTTTGCACGTTCTCTTTCCTTTTTATCTTCTGCTCCTCCCTGTAAGGAACAAATATTTGAGGTTGAGAATCATAAGATGGAAGAGGTAGAAGAGCCGGTCTGGCCTCCTGAATCCAGGGAAATGATTTCCAGTCTGAGTCAGTGTTATGTGGGAGGAAAAGTTCTCAGAGTGACTGTCAAAAGTATCTTCTCGGACGATGTTGACGAACGCCTTTATAATCCCAGCACTCAGTCATCAGGGGCAGGGGGGCCAGCCTGGTCTAAAGAGCTAGTTCCTGGATAGCTAGGACTGTTAAAACAGAGAAATCCTGTCTTGAAAAACCAGAAAACAAGCCGGGCAGTGGTGGCACACACCTTTGATCCCAGCACTAGGCAGGCAGATCCAGGCGGATCTCTGTGAGTTCGAGGCCAGCCTGGTCTACAGAGTAAGTGCCAGACAGCCAGGGCTACCCAGAGAAACCCTGTCTTGAAAAAACCACCAAACAAACAAACACGCAAAAACCCAGAAAACAAACAGATCCCCCCCCTTCGCATCTCTCTCCCATGGCCTGCTCCCGCCTCCTCTGTGTGTACCACCTCTCCCAACCCTACTGCTCTTGTCTCCTCTTCCACACCCCCTCCACCTCTTACCATCCCATGTTAGCTCGTCCTGGCCTTCAGGAAACCTCCCATGATGTCAGGGTAGAGCCATTTAAACAGTGCTTTTTGTTATGTTACAGGGTCTCATGGAGATACAGCAGAGGGTGACTTTGAACCCTAATCCTCCTATTATACCACCTGAATCCTAGAATTGCTAGAATTACAAATGTGCACGGCTTTGCCTGTTAGATATGCTTTTTGTTTGTTTGTCTAGTTAATCCCTTGGAAGCAAAGGCAGTAGAACCCTAGAACTGAAATTACAGGTGTTTGTGAGCTGTCCTGTGGGTGCTGGTTAATACCCTTAACCTCGAACCCACCTTTCTAGTCCCCAAAGTTTGGGGGGTTTTGTTTGTTTGTCGTGGTTTGATCTTTCCAGAGAGGCTTTCTCTATGTAGTCCTGGCTGTCCTGGAATTCCAACCTGTAGACTGTTATGATTTTCCTGCAGATTTTACAGCAGGCAGAACACACACACACACACACACACACACACACAGAGAGAGAGAGAGAGAGAGAGAGAGAGAGAGAGAGAGAGAACAACCAAATGATCCACAAAGAGACAAGAACGAGACTTGAAACTTGGCTCAACCCGATTTTATTGTAACTGGTGCTGGCCAGGAATTCTAGAATCTGGCCCAGGTCATTTTACTTTAGCCATATTTAAGCATGGCACAATTTTTGAGAAAAGTATTCAGATAACAATGAACCTGGCCTCTAGTTCCAGGACAGCCTCCAAAGCCACAGAGAAACCTTGTCTCCAAAACAAACAAACAAACAAACAACCCCCCCCCACAAAACAACAAAAACCCACAAAAAACAAAATAACAATGAACTTAGTCTCAAGTGCACAGCAATTTAAGACATGCTTACATTGAGATTCCTTACTGATAAGTATCGGATCCCCTATTGTTGATTTCCTCTGCCTATATAATAAGCCAAATCAAACTGAATTCATAAATTCAGATTTAATAAACAGAACAAAGCAAAGCAGAGCACTCCAGGGTGACTCCTGGAAGGCAGCAGGGACAGCACGTGGTAGGTCTATGAGCTGGGTCTTTTTTTTTTTTTTTTTTTTGTGGCTGGAGAGACAGCCATGGGTGCTGGGAACCAAACTCTTATATTTTTGCTTGTGAGCCTAGCATTTATGGGCTGAGCCATCTCTCCAGCCCAAGCTGGGTCTTAAAGTAGCCTGAAGGTGATCTTGAGCTGCCACTCAGGAGCGGGGGGTCTGGAATAGGAAGAATGGGTCTGGGTGGAGTTTTCCAACACTTACATAGTACATCTATCTGACTTCTTTCACAAGAATGGGTACTGTTGACTCAGTACCCAAGATTTAGGGTCTAGGGAGTTTGATAGTGGTAAGCATAATGTCTGTGTGTGTTGGGATTGGCATGACCCTAAGATGACATAGAAGTCACTTAGGCTGTTGAAAAGCACAAGTGACATCACTCATAGTCTAAAAGCAATGCTTAAGATCCAGGGGCAGGGGGAAAGGATCTTGGATAAGTAAAAACATTCATTCTGGGAGACACGGCAGAGCCTGTCTCATCAGACAGCAAAGGGTCACCAGTTATAAAACTACATCATTCTTAGCATTCCAGGAAGAGCACCTATGCCCTTAATTCCAGTGAAGAGGTAAGCTGTGTGTTTTAAATTTCCTGGCTTCTCTAGTGCTTGGGGCTTTTTGTTTGTCTATTTGTTTTTTCGAGACAGGGTTTCTCTGTGTAGCAGCCTGTCCTGGAACTTGCTCTGTAGATCAGGCTGGCCTGGAACTCACAGAGATCCACCTGCCTCTGCCTTCTGAGTGCTGGGATTAAAGGCGTGCGCCAGCATCGCCCGGCTCATGCAACAAGGCTTTTGGCTCTCTATATGTGGCCTTGAACTCAGAGATCCTCTTGCCTCTGCCTCCCAAATTCTGAGATGAAAGGACTATGGCACTACCACCCGGACATAGTTTAGGTGTTTTTGTTTATTTGCTTTTGAAACAGGGTTTCTCTGTGTGACAGTCCTGGCTGTCCTGGAACTTTCTTTGTAGACCAGGCTGGACTCCAACTCACAGAGTTCCACCTGCCTATGTCTCCCAAGTGCTGGGATCAAAGGTGTGTGCCACCACTGCCTGGCTCATAGTTTAGTTTTTTAAGACAACGTCTTGCTGAGTAACTCAGGCTGGCCTCAAATTCATTCTCCACTTGCTTCAGCTCCCGAAGTATTGTAATTACAGGCATATACCATGTGTCTTAGTCACTGTTCTATTGCTGTGAAGAGACACTATGACCAAGGTAATTCTTATTAAAAAAAAAAAATTGCCAGGCAGTAGTAGTGCATGCTTTTAATCTCAGCACTTGGGAGGCAGAAGCAGGAGGATCTCT